GCTCAGAGAGCGACTTGTAGTCCACTCAGTTCGGTAATTTATAGTAATATTGCCTTAAGTTGACAATATTCCATGCCCGAGGTACTTGTTTCCCTTCTAGGGTTTCGAGCTCGTACGTTCCTTCCCCGTGCACCCGCTTTACTCGGTAGGGTCCTTCCCAATTTGGCCCGAGCTTACCAACACCGGGCTCAGGTACCATAACTTTACGAAGGACCAGGTCTTCGACGCGGCGGTTCCGCTTTTTGACCCTGGCGTTATAGTACCGAGCTACTCTCTACTGGTAGGCCGCGGTCCTTATGTACGCGAGGTCCCGTACCTCGTCAAGTAGGTCGAGGTTGGTGTGTAGCTCGTCTTCGTTTGCTTTGTCGTCGTGCGCTTCTAGACGTAGCGTGGGAACCTCGATCTCGGTTGGGATAACTGCCTCGGTGCCATAAGTGAGGTTGAAGGGAGTCTCTCCTGTAGCGGTCTTCACTGTGGTCCGATAAGCCCATAAAACACTAGGTAGCTCGTTTGCCCATAGTCCTTTAGCTCGGTCCAAGCGTGCCTTTAGTCCGCGGAGGACGGCTCTGTTCGTGATTTCCGCTTGGCCGTTTGCTTGAGGGTGTGCTACCGAGGTAAAGTTTTGCTGTATCCCCATGTTTTTGCACCAGTTTTGGAATTTGATGTCCTCGAACTGCTTACCATTGTCGGAGATCAGTACTCGGGGTAGTCTGAAACGGCTTTCTATACTCTTCCAGAAGAAGTTTTGCACATTCCGAGCTGTAATCGTCGCAAGAGGTTCAGCCTCAACCCACTTAGTAAAATAGTTGACTGCCACCACTAAGAATCTTCTCTGCCCTGTTGCTGGTGGGAATGGTCCGAGTATGTCGATCCCCCACTGTGTGAAGGGCCACGGGCTGGTAAGATATTTTAGGTCGGCAGTAGGCTAGTGGTGGATGTTGGCGTGCTTCTGATACTTGTCACATCTTCTGACGAGCTCGATTGCATCTGCCTTCATCGTTGGCCAGTAATACCCCTGTCTAGCGCTTTCTGGGCAAGAGCGTTGCCCCCAAGTGTCCACCGCACAGATTCTCATGAGTATCGCGGAGGACGAGTTCGGCCTCGAAAGGTCGCAAGCAGCGCAGGTAGGGGAGCGTGTAAGATCTTTGGTACAACCGTTCGTCTATCATGACGTATTTGGCTGCCTGACGCTCTACCCTTTTGGCAGCATCATTACGATCTGCAGGGAGGGTTCCGTGTAGCAGGAAGCTCGCGAGCGGATCGATCCAGCTCGGCTTTGCTTGAACGACGGGAGCAACTTCCTCTGCCCCCCCCCGAGAATGCTAGGCCGAGGTAAGTTCTCTATATACACGGTTCTCATGGTGTTATCACTAGTGCTGGCTAATCGGGATAGGGCATCGGCCCCAACATTCTCTGATCTCGGGATCTGTTGGATGAAGTGTGACTGGAAGTTGAGTAGAGCCTCTCTTACTTTGGCTAAGTAAGCGATCATGGTTGGCTCGCGAGCTTCGTACTCACCCGTAACCTGGTTGACCACGAGCTGAGAATCATTGCAGATGACAATGTGTTTGGCTTTCACTTCGTTTGCCAGAGCCAGCCCGGCTAGTAACGCTTCATACTCCGCTTCATTGTTGGATGCCGCGAACTCGAAGCGTAGTGCATACTCCAGTTTCACACCGCTTGGCCCGTACAAAACGATCCCAGCTCCGCTGCCCAACTGGTTTGACGAGCCATCTACGTGAAGGATCCAGGGCAGCGGAGCCCGACCGGACAGCTCGGCAGACGAGGCAACTCGCCGGGAAATAACATCCAGTTCACCCCGAATTCTCTCCAAGGGTGGAGCGAACCGAGCTCTCGCCTCAGCGAGGGGACCTGAGCTCCTCCCATTGAGCCCCGAGCTCTTCCTAAGAAGGAAACACCCCGACCTACGGCTAAGTATCCCGAAGTGGAAACACTTCGGGTCAGCACCATTAACACTCTTGTCCATACTTGTCTAAGGCCCGCCTCAAGCATAAGCACCTCGGCACACCCCCAGCACCTCGCCGGAGCCCAGCCGGACAGCTCGGCAGACGAGGCAACTTGTCGGGAAATAACATCCAGTTCACCCCGAATTCTCTCCAAGGGTGGAGCGAATCGAGCTCTCGCCTCAGCGAGGGGACCCAAGTTCCTCCCATTGAGCCCCGAGCTCTTCCTAAGAAGGGAACACCCCGACCTACGGGGAGTGGGGGGCAATTGATAAAGGGTGATTTGGCCCGACCTCGTAGCATGGGGGCACGTGGACATGACTTGCCATAAGTGACAACTCAGCGTGACAGCCTGGCCATAACTCGGCATAACGAACTCGTCGGAGCCTGGCCGAACAGCTCGGCGGACGAGGCAACTCGTCGGGAAGTAACATCCAGTTCACCCTGAATTCTCTCCAAGGGTGGAGATAACCGAGCTCCCCCCTTAGCGAGGGGACCCGAGCTCCTCCCATTGAGCTCCGAGCTCTTCCTAAGAAGGGAACACCTTGACCTATGGCTAAGTATCCCGAAGTGGAAACACTTCGGGTCAGCACCATTAGCACTTCTGTCCATACTTGCCTAAGGCCTGCCTCAATCATAAGCACCTTGGCGCACCCCCAACACCTCGGTGTAAGGTAGCTCGATGCAATGTAGCTTGGCAACTTGCAAGAAAGATTTGCCTGACAACAGTACCTGCCGAATCTGGAGGCTGCGCCCACATCCCTTGTCAGGCGGCATCATGCCTGCCATTTCTGAAAGATGTGGCACGCCTGACAGGTCCGTACCCTGCAACGGTTGCCTGCACCCGCCACCTCAGCTCTGGCAGTAACGGCTGCAGCGGAGGCGGTTACTCCTGACTTGACAGAGGCGGTTGATAGAACTCCAATATAAAAGGACCCTGATCCCCAAGGAGCAAAGGTACTGAACTTGTGCCATCTGCACTCTTAGCTCTCTCTTTGCATTCTCTATAGTTCTCTCAGAGTTCTAACTTAAGCATCGGAGTGTTCTCGCTGGGCGAGCTCCCCGGGAATTCTTTACCTCTCTCTTCTTCTCAGGTACCATCCGTCGCCAGTTAGGAGCCAGGTTTCCGCCAGCTAGGAGTGTCCGGATCGCGCTGCATCATATACTTTGATTGCCTTCATCAAGGTGAGAATAGTTCATTGGGTTTTAGCTAGTTGAGAGTTTAAAGTGGTATCAATGATTGATCTAATAAGAAGTTGGCATATTGCTGCTGTTGTTTCAGGTGGGAGACAGAAAAGAGTTGAGAATTGGAACTCCCTCTCCCTGCCCAACGTGGGCGGATTAAAACTGAATTTTGATGGCTGTGTCCTTATAATCCGGGAGAATCAGGTGTTGTTGGGTACTAAGGGATGGAGAAGGTAGAATACTATACTTCTCAGCTTCTCTGGGCCAGCAGGGATTACTTCTTAAGAGCTGGACTACTGGCTGTAGTTCATGGTTTAAAACTGGTAGTATCAAACAACTGGAGAAACATAATAGTGGAGGGGGACTGCCAAGTGGTTATTTCATGGTTGATTTCAGAAAGTGTAGTCCCATGGAAATACAAGTTGTCAGTTAGAGAAGCTTTGTTGTTGGGAAGAACATCTGAATTACTTGTTCAGATGATTCTGAGGACTGGAAATGACTTGCAGATGGACTTGCCAAAGCTGGAGTTGTAAGGCAAAGTTTGGTTTGGGGTTGTCCAGGATCTGGGGCTGAATTACAACTGTTTTTTCATGGAAAAAGAGAGATTTTTTTTTTAAGAAAAGGTAAATTAATATTCATTAATCTCAAAAAATCCCTGTAGAACAAGAAGCTGTACATAGGGAGCTAAAAGAAAAACTGCCCCTGCAGTGCTAACATAACAAACCATTATTTTTACAAAAGGATTTTCTGTATACAAAATATGTACTGTGACTTCTTCCTTTGAATGATATATGAATGGCCAGCTTTGAATGCAGTCTTCCCACTAACATAATAAACCAATACTTTTATGACAGCTTGATGCTGTTCTGTAATTTCCTGCTATACATACAGACAACATGGTTTTTTTTCGATATATATTATATATATTTCATTGTGTTATCTATCAAAAAATTAATATTCTACATGATCAAAATCTTAGTTATAATCCTTTTAAAATTCTAATGACATAAGAATCCAACAATGTTCATCTTAAAGTTTGTAAATTAAGTAGTAAAAGAAAGGGAAAAAAGGAAGAAAAAGGTTAGGAAACCTGTCTTACACAGTAGAAAGCAAGGAGAAAGTAGGAGGAAGAAGAAAAATCAGTTTCAAGGATGAAATACGAACTATTTATCCCTACCTCTCGACCTGCACTGTAGCATTGTTCATTAAACATGTGAAAACAAAATGCCCCTGTTAAGTGATTCTTAACAGGGGAATACCATATTACATCAAATGACTAAAATGCCCTTGTGGGCAAACATTTCAACAGCTCACCTAGGATATCTGCTCATCAACATTTGTAGCTGTTAATGCCTGAAGAAAAAGTTCCATGGATGATACATCGGAAGGAAAATATAAAGAGAAACATTTAAACATGAAAATCCATCTGTCTTTCATCAAACAGCTGGATTCTTTTGCATCACAATAAACATATTAACATCTCCTTTCAGTCAATACTAACCATGCTCCACACAACCTGGATATCCATATACCAGTCTGAGGATAGAGGATATTCTCAGTGAAATTTCTTCCTTTTTTGTTGCAGTATTTTTCTTTTTCTTTTGATACGTGTATTTATAATTGATCAAACGAAATGCCTACCTTTAGATTTTCTGTGTTCCAATCTGGCATACTTCACTTTATAATTATTAGTACTTACAACATTGTAAACCATTCACACAATTTGCACATCACCCTGATCACTTTTAATTGGTCTCCTTCAATATGGTTATACAAAATTTAATATTCTGTACACTTGCACATTCAAATTACCCTGCAACCTGCATGATGTGATTGTGGCACATTATATAGTTTCTATCTGGAAAGAGTATCGAAGAAATTAAAAAGGATGCTGCTAGAGAAAGAAACAGGGAGCTTGCTCAGTTGTCAAAGGCTGCAAGACAGAAAAATGAATCAGCAAGTTCTATTCTATCATCAACCTTGTAAGTTGGGTTCCCTTTAAATTTGGACTTGGTGTCATAAAAACGGTCTTTCCATTTGCAAATAATATCTATTTAACAAACATAGTTGGAAATGTGTAAATGTAATGTGATACTAGTGCAAGCATGGGGCATGTTTCCCAAGGAGAAAATGGACTGGATTTTTCTTACCCTGGAAAAAAGATAAGATCTTAACCAGGTTTGCAATGTAACAACACACATGTAACTTCTTTTCTTTTTTTGCTTTTTGGGATTGTTATCAGGATATTTTATATGCAGAGAAAAGATGGGGAAAAGAAATGAGAAATGAAAATAGAAATAAAAATAAATGACTCAAGGAAGGTTCACCCTCATTACAGAAAAATTAAATTTTTGCAACAATGCCTTATTTCTATTGCAATATAAGTAACCTTGAGAGACTTCATTTCAACAGTTTCCCTTAACAAGATTAAGTTACTACATTAGCGATTTAAAAACCATGAAGAAGAGCAAGCACCATGGAGTCGTGTCTAACCACTAATCTTTGGAGTATAAATGCTGGAGAGAACACCATAGTTCATTTTGATCTTATTCTCTCTTGAAGGAATACATTTTTTGATTGATTGAAGGAATAAATTTTGTAGGGCTAGACAGATGAAAATGAATAGTAGTCCATCAGAGACACTTGATTTAGTTTTGTCAATGTTATGAAATGTTGTACCATTCAGTAAGGTTTTGAATTAATAGGTAGAGATATAGAATTAATCTAATGTTCTTCAACTTTTTGTTATTTTTCCTTCATAAGTAGGTATTTACCTCAAAAACTCAATAAAGCCTTATCTATATTCCCCACATTATACAACTGAATATGCAAATCCTGTTTTGCTATTCTTAATCATATTAATGTTTTCATAAACTTGATGCATACATGAAAGATAAATTACAAGAGAAGACAACCAGATAATTTTCTGAAGAAGCTTTCCAGTGGGACCTAAATGGCTTTCATGCAACCCACTGCCCTGGCTTCCACTGGGGAAGCCCTAACTACTCCCTGGAGAGGGTTACCCTTTTTTTTTCTGATGAGCATAGAAGGTCAATCTTCTTGATAGTGCAGGGTCAGCATAGAAGACTTTATGTTTCTTTTCCGTATTTCTTGTTATTTTCAGTTTAGGCTGATTTAAAGAATTTGTCTAGAGTCTGATTTTAATCTTAGTATTTACTTCCTCGCAGAAAGTGTCATAAAATCAGTAATTGATACTAAGAGAGCTGTTATTCTTTAGTAGTTTTGAAACTGGTTGATTCTCTTTTAGATAGTCTTATGCATCTGTCTTGGGTTGGGGTCAGTATTGTCATACCCAGACCATATCTACTAATTGGACCATTCAGACTGGGTCCCAAAACTGGATTTTGAAATGCATGGTTCTCTGAAATGTTGACTTGGTCAAAGGTTATTGAGAACCATACTAACAGGTGTTATAGTATTTAATTTTTTTGATAGGTAAAAGTTCATTAAGAATTCATTATCAGCAAAAAGATAAATATCTGTTACAAGCATCCCAAGGGGAGGTGTCAGGTGCAGCATCACACTTTAAAAGAAAAAAAAACAGCACAAAAATTACAACTGGGCCCAATACAACTGATTCCTAGTTACTCCTTGCTTGGCTAGATAGTCGGCAAATACATTAGCCTCCCTTCCCACCATAGTTTTCAAGGCGCCAAAGCGAGGTTAGGCAATAGGGGGGGGTACCTTGTCGCCTAGTCGCCTAGGCGGTGGATTTTTTTATGTTAAAAACATTGATCCTAGGGTAGTTCCCTAGGTACCATAACCATCTTTCCTTAATAATTATTCATAATTCTCATAAGAAAAGTATAAGGTTCATATTAAAGGATAGAAAATCAACATATTCATGAGAAGAAAAGGAAGAAGGAAAATAAAATTCAAAAAATATAGGGGCTGATCCCTTTTTGTTATAGGAAAAGAAGAAAAGAAAAAGTATTGGTAGTAGTAGTAGTACAAAAAGAAAAAGAATATATGGAAGAAGAAAATGTGCTGATTAGATAAAATTTTAAGTTCTTCCTTACTTATTGATTCAGGTTTTGAAGTCTTTGAGGGTTCAATACAGCATTTAGCAATGTTTGTGTTGATTAAACTCTAATAAATAAGAAAATAATAAAAATAAACTAGTATATAAACATACAGAATGATTATTTTAGTTTATAATGTCTATTTTATAATTATAATCTCAAAAAAGAATGAACAAAAAAGTATTTTAAAGTAGAAAGTAAAAAACTGCTTTGCGATTAAGCGAGGCGAGCCTCAAAGGGTGCCTTGTCGCCTTGACAACTATGCTTCCCACTCATTGTATAATCAAATTCAAATGTCGTGTTACCCATTTGAATTTCTTCATTTCATTTCTGTAATACCATATCACTGAGTCTAGATCTCTTAGCCAACCCACCACCACCTTGGAGTCCCCTTCCATCACCAAATTCTCCAAGTCTATCTCCCTTGCAATCTGTACACCTTGTAGGACTGCATACAGTTCAGCCCTTAAGGAGTCTCCATTCCCCATCGGTCCTGAGTAGAGTGCTCTTAGATTCCCATCTTTGTCTCTTATGGTCCCTCCAATTCCAGAAAGGCTTGGGTTTACCTGATTGCTCCCATCAAAGTTTAGTTTCATAAAGCCTTCAATGGGAGGTGTCCAAACCAACCGTGCTTTAGTCTTCTGCATTGAGCTAGAAGCTACTGAAAACTAATTCCTCCAAATGTCATCAAAGGGGAAATGTCTGAATAATTCCATAGTTTGTAGCCAATATATAGTTCTGGTCATTACACAATCCATAATTTGTTGTTTGCTTTTCTCCTTCTCTTGGAAGATTTTGGCATTTCTTTCTTCTCATAATGTCCAAACCACTGCTGCTCTAGTGCACCTTCATATTCTTCCCCTTTTGTTTGGCCAAGCAAATGTAGATAGATCAAATAACATCTTAATCTCCATTGGGCATTGGCATATTCCACCTGCACCCAAACAAAGAGAAAAACCACTCCCAAATTTCTATAGCAGATGAGGAAACGAGTAAGTGATAGCAAGATTCACCATCTGATTTACAAAGAGTGCACCAATTCGGGGAAATACACAAAAAAGGCCTTTTCTTTTGCAAGTAATCCTAAGTGTTAATTTTCCCATATACCCTTTCCCAACAGAAAGCCTTAATTTTAGGGGAAATTGGCTGAAACAAAACTTCTTCTATGGAAAGGACTGAGAGGAAGGGGACTGGCAAAGAGCTTTAAAAAAAAAGGCACAAGAGAAGAAGCATTTAGGGTTTGGACACCAAAGTCTCCTATCTGGTTTCGAAAGCTCTAGGCTGACTTTATCAAGAAGTAGAAGCTTTGACAAATAGGTAGCTTCTTCATACCTCAACCCCCTTCGAAACCCAAAATCCCAATTGTGACCCATAGGTTAAATAGGATGGACTAGAAAACTCAAAATTACCTTATTTTTGTACAAGGAAATGGAATACAAGGAAGGAAACAAGTTCTTTAAGGGTCGGTCACCAAACCAAGTGTCTTCCCAAAAACGAATCAAATTACCTGAGCAAACATCGTACCTGATAAAATAGGTTTGCAGTATATATTATATACTTGTACTATTTTTGAGATGTTTTTATTTATTTTTTTTTACATTTTTTCTTTGAGAAAGTTGAGTGGTTTCTAGACATTCTGACCATTTGACCCCTGTACCACTAGCTTTAGTGGGTGAACACATCTGGTCTAGTTTTAACAATACTGGTTGGAATCTTGGTGCCTCTCTTAAGGCACAAGTGGACTTTGAGGTTCTTTTCTCACAAGGTCTACAATCTTATGGGGTTTATGGAGTGAGAGAAATGCAAGGATCTTTGAGAACAAAGAATTGGATGCAAATTCCTTAATTGTACCATGATGAGAATGATTCATTGGGTCTTAAATAGTGATGAATTCAAAGGGGTTCACAATTGAAAAGTTACTGAGAGATTGACAAACTGTGGTTGCATTTCAGATGAGAAACCAGCAAAGATTAGTAGGAGATGCATCTGAAGAAGGAAAGCTGAAACTACATTTTGATGGTTTCAACTTGGGCTGCTTTTAGGAATAGATGGAGTGGTGAGGGATGAAAACAACATCCTACTCAGCTTTTCTGGATCAATTTGTCTAGGCAACTCCTTAAAAGCTGAACTAATGGCTCGTGCAGGGACTGATGCTGATCTCCATGTAAGATTGGACAAATATTGTTGTGGAAGGAGATTGTGATTTTGTTATCTCTTGGATGAATTCGGCAGGGGACATACTTGCATATATAGGGGTCTAGTCTGACAAGTGTAGGCATTTAAACATACCATGGACAGCTTGTTCCAATGGGTTCCTAGGATTGCAAATGCTTCGGCTGATACACAAAATTTGGGGTGACAAGGGAAAGCCTGGTATTAGGGATGGCAAATTTCCCCATCCTCGATGGGTACTTGACTTCCCCAACCCATTGGGTTGGGGATGGGGATTGCTTTGGCGGGGTAGGGATGGGGACTGGGATTAATAGGGATCCCTGACCAGGGTCAGGCTCAGGGATGGGGAATGAGGCCCCCGCCTCGACCCCACCCCGAGTATATATATTAAATATTATTCATATTGTATATATATTATTATATATGATTCTATTTATATATATCAAAATATATTCAAAATATTATTTGTATTTTAAATTTTTTTATTTACTTTAAGTAAATTGATTTTTCAAAAAATACTATTAACTAAAATAATTTGGGGATTCGGGTCCATGCGAGGAACTCGTCATTGTCGGGGATTGGGGATGGAGGACAATTTTTATCCCTAACGGGGATCAGGGTCGAGGACGGGGAATATGATCCCCACCTTGAACCTGCCCTGTTGCCATTCCTAGCTGGTATGAGGAGGGCTGGGATTGGATATGTATAGTGATTGGTTTGTTGCATTCCACTTATCCAACTTTGTTTGGTCTTGTTCATTTCTATCC